GCGCTGCCGAGTTTCTTGGACGCTGTGCTGCCTCCTTCACGGGAACACTCTTTCAGGCGAATTCCCCATAAGTTTACCAGTCAGCCCTATGTAGTAGCACATGTTCATCCATCTGTTGGCGAATATTGTGCTGCAGAATCTCCAAAAGACAATTTTCCCCGTCAAAGGCATTCATAATTTATTGGAATCCACCCCAGATTGAACTTTTTTCAGATTCCCTTTTGTTTCTTCCTTTCGATTTCATGGCGATGAAATTTCATCATTTTTCGTCTTCATAGAGACGTGTGCTGTCTTAATCATAAGTTAATTTGACATAATAGCAATTCACCTATTCATAGTTACGAATGTAAATAACTACTGCACACAAAAACCAGTTTTCCCCTTCTCACACATTCTTTGCACGGGTGGAGGTGGGGAAGACCATGGAGCACGAGATCAACACTGTATTTCGACATAAACGTGAATACTCACAATTATTTTTTGAAAACGACACATATTTGAAATACCTTTAGAATTGATTGAAATTTGATCAAAAAGTTTTCCCGCCAAAATCCCCGGATCACCGTCATGGTTGACGGTGGCTGACTGGACCACCCATTTGGCTGTTCTCCCCGATCTCTGTATGGGAGTGCATAAGAATGAATTAACAGTTCACCTGACTCAACTCTACATTCTATTTGGAATTTGTCATCATTCATTTTTCACTTCTGTTATTTACAGCGTCGAAATTTTTTATGTCTGTTGAACTTCGTGTTTTTCTCTGTTTTGGCTATTGTCGGACAAGTTCATCCTGGAGGTAACAGATCAGTCGGTTATGTTTCTTAACACGGTTTTACCTGAATCTCTTCCGAATCGAGCCTCCTTGCACTTTCTTTCTGAGACTACCACGTTAAATTACCTTTCTACAGAAATTATATTAATTAAATTAACAAATTACGTTTATTAAGAAACTATTTTCCAATACTAATATTTTTAGTATAATATTTAGCATTCCTTCATGCCGAGAAAATAACTTGGGCAGATTGTTGACATTAAGCATCTGGACGTTTTCATTCGACCCCTTCCTCTACCCTCTGGTGGGGTAGATGTGTTATAAAGGGAATTCAGGATTTTTGGATTGAAAGGGGGTTTGGATTATTCGGAATACCCCATCAAAATAAGCTTCCATTCATATTTCAACCAAGTACGTCTAAGGAAGCCCATCTGTTTACTAGTACTTCATAATTGATTAATTAGCTGACAACAGTGTGTTTACTTGCTCCCTTCTTCATCATTCAGAAGTCGGACATCCTTGGAAGTGGGAGCCTTCTTTCTGTGAGTCTTATAGAAACCCAAAATGAATTGCCCTAGGTGGACTGTTGAGCCAACAGGGATTATTGGAGAGGAGCGAACCTCATAGAGACCTCGGATAAGCTTTGCTCTCCACCCGGTGGTACCAAAACTAAGTGGATGTTACTCTACTTTCCACCCTTTACCTGAGCACAACGAGTAACACTGGAAGGTGGTGGAAAATAAAAAAGAAATGAGAGCTTGTGGTGGCCTTCCCTGTGCACTACGACTTCTTCACTCGTTGCTCACTCTATGCAAGAAATTTCCATGAGTCCGTTGAAAGCGGTGGGCCCTAAGAGGGTACTGCAATTTGGCAGCAGAGTCAGGTGAACTATGATTGGACTAACTCCACCAGCGGCTCTAAAAAATCTTATTACAATTGAAATCACTTTATTAGTACAAGTCCACACGAGTTTGGCAGACACATTCATGGCAAATTTTTCAATAAATCTCCCTTTTTCGGAGCTTGGAATTATGAAAGTGATTTTCAAGACCACCGGACCAAATAGCTCTGCGACGGGCAAGACCTCCGAAATCGACTTAGTCATCGCACAACATCATTGTACCGTACGCAATAATTTAAGGCTAAACTGGTTTTCTTTAAATTCTTTGAGAAAACTTTCGAAGATGTCCTGCGGACCACTTCTGACTGTCATGATTGATTTTACTATATTTAATATTGATTACTAGCGAATTTACAGGTAACAAGCTGGAAAAATACATAGCCATTAAAGCAACTCACTAAAATGATAGTATGGGCCGGAGCTCGCTGATCGTTCGATGATCGGCGGGCGTTCCGTTGGACTCGACGGTCCATTGTTGAAAGGACTGAGCGGGATCGAGTTCATAGAGGGGTTGATATTGCTGCATTGACAAACAGTTTACTGCCCATTCCTGTTTGCACAAGACTACTGCTTCCTGCTTTTCCCTGCACAGCTTTTCCTGCACATTCTTGCAACATACAGCTTTTACTTCTTAGTTTTCATTGTTTTTTGGTTTAAAGTCACTCGGATGTAGGAAAGGAGACGGGAGAATGTGGTGCAATGTAATAATAAAATATAGAAATCAATAGAATTAACTGAAAATTCTTCAAGAAAATCTGTCCTGAACGGCTTAGAAAATGCAGGCAAAACGTGTTCCATCGTAACTAGTATCATACTGTGGAAACTTGTACAATATAAATTATCACCTAATAAATAAGTTACATTCTTCCATGTTTTTGTTTTCGAATAAATATCGATCAATCAAACTTATCATTACTGGCACCAAGTAGGTGTGGTAGACCAGAATGATTGAAACTCTAGTGTGGAGTGGGAAAATAAAATACTTCGCATTGTTTTGTCCTTTTTATGGGAGGCGCCAGGAATTTGACTTCTTCCCGAAACCCATTGGCTCCTGAGCGCCCTCCTAAGCATGGAAGAATTCGCAAAAACTGGCCGTCTCTCATGCTCATGGTAGACGGAGAGGAAGGTTTGACAGCCCCAAGAAGAGCAGGAATGGATGTGGGGTTCGTCTGAATTGGTGGATTTGAGATGCCAACAGTGGTCAGGTGCAGCAGCAGAGCTGATTGTTTCAACTTTGTGTCGATGCAAACCAACACAGTGCAAGTGTTTATATCCATTCACCCTCTATCATTTACCCAGCTGAAGATCGGGTTTATATATCGTTGTTGTTGAGGGAAAATATAACATTTTATAAGCACGGCGAGCGACTATTAGGGAGCACATCCAATGGTTGATCAACTATTTGGGGTTGTCTTATTAACCTTTTCACGCAATCATACACGTCTGCATTCCAAAGCGGAGCTCGAAAGCATGGCGCATCCCACTATCGTGCAGTAACAGCTGAAAAAATTGAGCATTTTTTTTTGAGCCCTAGAGGGGGATTACCTGTTTCTTCATACAGGGGTGATGGCTTTTCCCTCAATCTATCTATTTTGTCACTCTGTCATACGCGTCTGCTCTCCAGAGCGGAGCTCAGAAGCATGGCGCAACCCGTTGACATACAACATCATCCAAAAAACATTAGCGTATTGACTTTTTTTAGACCTGTGAAGAGAACTTCCTGTTTTCTTTGTATAAAAGAGCCTGTGAGGTCGTTATAGGGAACTTTTCAGTCTTTAATCTTTTATAGCCTTTCCCTCACTCGATTTCAATGGGTGCTTTTCAGATTTCCATTCTCTGATGGTTTTTAGACCACATTTTGACAGCATTACTTTGAGCGGGAAAATTACGCGTCAAAGCATTCGGGCAGCTGCTGTCAGGGCCTAAAATTCTCGTTGTGTTTTCGTCAGTGAAGTCAGCTGAGGGCGGGGTGTAAGCTGGGCGGAAATCGACCTCATATTGGTGTCGCTTCACTCAAGCCACCACCACATTGTCTCGTCTCCACCCTGTCTGTGTCATTTTCACTATTCTATAATTACAACGATTTCAATGAGCTCGTTCTTTTGTTATGGAGTCTATTTGAACGCCGGACGGGGCCAACGGATGGAGCAAATAGTCAATGCTTTTGCATGGCAATCGTTTTTCTGAGGCATTTCGTCCAGCAGCGTTTCCAATCTCAATACCAAACAGCAAATTGCTCTGCGTTGATGCCAGTGATCGCTGCACTTTGTTGATTTCGAAAAAGCTTTTTTTCGTTTCGTATTTGTGCACTTTGCGAGGCAGATATGCTTCTCTGTGTGGGGGCGGTTGAGGACACTCACTCAAGAGCGCCACCTAGCGTTCTCCTTCCTGGCTTCGAAGCATACCCCTCCCACTAAAAACGATCCAAACAGTTGTCGTAAGCACCGTCCGACCGACCAACGTCGATGTCCTTTTGCTGGCATGCTGCTCGGGCTCGGGGAATTGCCTTTCGAGAGCGGCTGCAGGCCTCGGACGGACGACTTAGGACGACGAGGCGATTACCTTTCGGTGGCATTATTGATGAGCCTCTTCGCATTACTGCTACGACGACGAATCGGTCGGATACTTTGCCAATTACTAGTTAGACAGACAGCCTACAGCCTGCACTCGCTCTCAGAAACATCCACATAATAGAAGTAGCCGGGTATCCGGAGATCACCGCAAATTTTAGCCTTGGGTCGATGCTTTGTTGTTTTTTGACCTAGTAGGAGTCGAACATTCGATTTCGCTGCGCGTCCGTCTGCGCCCTTAGCAGACGCTCTGGCATTTCCTAGAAAGTCCAGCTACTCTTTAACGATATTTCTGTTTTCTCTGAAGTTTATTCCGTCCATATTAAAGTTCAGAATCTACAGAAGAGTAAGTTCGATCTCGTTTGCTCAGAAGTTTGAGGTAGCCTTACTGGTTGGTCACCTCCTTTTCCTCCGTTTTTTTCTCCTTCGAGAGTTTTCATTCACTAAAACTGTACTGTACTACAAAACTCTGTAGTTGCAGCTCCTGAAAACGCCGTGTTTTTGTTTTTTTGGGATTTTTCTTCGATGTATTCGTTTGCTTTCATTCGTTCGGTGGTTATCAAGCCCCCATCTGTTTCTGTAAGCTTCCATTGCATTGTGACCATGACGTCATCCGGTAAACAATCCAACGACCTTCAAAAGTGTTTTTAAGTCCACTCCCACTTGGTCATTGATGTTTGCGTGTGATATATGCTGTTCCTACTCGTGACACAACTACTATAAATACCCTATACAAGTAATTCCAGGCTTAATCAATATGGTTATTCTAACTAAAGAACAACAAGAAGAAGCCGCTAACGAGGGCCTCTGGCTACCCCAATTAGAGAAAGATAACTGTGGTGTTGGTTTCGTCGTTTCCATCAAAGGCATTAAAACCCATAAGGTAAGATATTTTCCTGTTTCTATTGTATATTACAGTTTTTAACTATGTTTTACTGTCATTTACTTGGAGTAGTATGATTAACAGGACGATTTCTGATCAAACATGTCAGCAATTGATCACAAAGTGTAAAGTGTCAAGTTCTTGAGGGGGTTTTTTCTCCACTAGGTGTTCCTGCTCACAAATCTACTCCCATTAGTACCGATTCTATTGAACTACAATGTAGAACCTGGGTTATCCCAAAGTACCCGAGTTGGTTGAGTTGGTGTGCCGTCTGAAGGCCATGGGGAGTCAAGTAATAGTATGAGTTTAGTAATCAGACCACCCGATATCGATGAGCTGTTGTTCCGTAGATAGGTGTAGGTTTGACGTGGTGAATTTTTGCTGGGATTCCCGAATCCTGATTGAATTTGATCTCCGAAAATCAATAGTAACTAATGGGGCAAATGTGACTGTTCACGAGTCTGCTTTAGTAAAGTTGACCAGGCAGGATGCCTTTACATTCGCTTTCGTCTCATCGGCCGTGGACCCTTTTTTCTGCCCCTCTTTGACGTCATATGTTGGATTAGCCCCGACCACGTCGATCGAATAAAATAATAAAAAGAATAGATAAAAATGTCGGACGCTTTCACGTTGATGGGTCAGAGGGAGTTCAGGTACGGGAGTTGCCAAGCGAAAAGCCCTTTGTTCATGTTTATTCAGTAACCGGAAACACATTAGGGCAATAAGTGCTCTCCTCTGCTTCCCCAACCATCGCATATTGCTCTCAATGAAAAGTAAAAGATTACGAACGGCCTATAAAACTTGTATAGACAATGCCATTGTTGAAGTGGGCTTTATCCATTTTGTCGCCCGAGGACCCAAAGTGTTCTTGAGATTCGAGGCTTGAATGTACTCAGTTCTTCGGGCATCTTGTCCTTATGTTCTCCTTAGGAGGAATTATGAGGGATGAACGGGATAGAAGGTGAAGTGTTCGTGCAATCAATCTTGTTGGAGATGTACCCTGTACTTGAGCTCTTTCCTGAACTTTTGTGGAGTTGATTTTCCGAATGGATGGCTTCAGAGGGTGACCTAAACCTGCTTATGTCCCTAAAGATACCTGACGGAAAGATGCGCTTCAAAGTTGAGGGTATGGACTGAGAGAAGGATCACGTTGAGGTCTGCTTTCTCTTGGAATCAAAGTTGATGGAACAAATTGAATGGGCTGGTAGATTTGGAGGGTTCCGGGAGAAATTCGATCCCATAAGCCGGATGGTCCAAAGTGGGGATTCCTGCTCCATATCCTGGAATATGGCCACAGCAATTAAAGTAGTACATATTTCAAGTATCACATTATTTTGTAAGAAACTAACTTTCAGATCCTTTGCGAAGCCCGCACAATGCTGGAACGAATGGCTCATCGTGGTGCCTGTGCATGTGACAATGATTCCGGTGATGGAGCGGGAGTTTTGACGGCCATACCCGATCTCCTCTACAGGAAATCCGTGAAAAAGTCAGTCTAGAGCCTAGAATGATTGCAATTCTAGAAAGATTAGCGGAAGTAAAGCACTTGGTATCTGCTAGACATTTGTCACTCAACCTTCTCTCGATGGGATTAGGGGATCAAGTGAAACATGGGGCAGTGGGCAACGGCTGACGCTTACTGATATTCAAAGATTATTCGAAGAGTTAGTCTGGAAAACTGATGCCACGGAATTTCTTGGAAAAAACATCTTCCAAACAAAGCTAAGAAAGGATCTCAATTTTCGAAGTTTCTGCTTTCTTATGGATCATTTATGTCGATTACGAGGCCTCGATATTTTATCATTGTTATTATTATACTTATTTATTTGTTTTTTATTATATTATATATTTCTGTTATTATATTTGTTTTATAGTACTAGAGTCATCACACTTTTTATGTCCATTTAATTACCATACCTCCTCTCATTCATACATGATTGGGGAGTAAATTCAACTACTATTACTTATCATCGGAAATTTAATAACTGTTATTATTCAATATCATAAAAGCAAAAAAATTAATGCGCAAACTGAAGCAAGTGTCTCTCGTCACCGACATTTCTGTCATCATTATCAAACAGTTTATTGATCGATGTGTACGGTTTGTCACGACCTCCTTTTGCATCGCAACGTTTATTGATTGGTGCACACGGTTCAACAAATTTTTGATTCCTAATGGCAATTTCAATTTAGAGTGCTAAAAAACATTGTGCTGCTGTCTGGAACGCAAGTAATTGATTTCCATGACGAAATAGTTTTGAACCTTCTGCACTCAATTTTTTCTGATGCATTTTTCTCAGGCTTCAAAGTGAACAAACTTGTGGGAAATAAAGTAATTAAGCTGGGAAATACATAGTTATTGGCATAATAATGATAGTACTTTTACTACTAAAAATAATTATAGTAATAATAATAATAATAATAATAATAATAATAATAATAATAATAATAATAATGCGTATATTCTAGTTACAATAGTAGTGATATTTGCTAAAATGTGTATCAAACAATATTTGCAAAAAGAAAAATCAAAAAGGGAATACTGAGAAGGGAGATGATTCCTCCTTTTTTCCGAACCGAAAGCGATTGTGTCTAGAACTAAGGAATGTTAAGCACTTCGCTTCAATAAAGATGTAAAAAAAGTCACCCACGCCTGCACCATGAAGTTCCTTCCCCAGTTTCCCACGCTATTGTTGACCTTCAGGTGACCTGTGACGGGAGCGTGAGATAAGCTTGATAACAAAGTAGTTGCTCTTCGACAGTTGAAGAGGGTTCACTACTAATAGTGGGGTGTTCTGCGAACAATGGTTATGGACCGCAATAACAACGTGTTTCGAAACAGTGACTGGCTGGACCAGCAGAGCCTTGAACTAGCGAAGTATGTGGGTTGAACGGCGCCTCTTGGTACGGAGAGTGATCACTGTTTCCAAGGGATAACCGAGCATAACTTAGTGGTGCAACTCAATTCTTCAGGTATTTACAAGAATTCAATACTCTAACCCTAAATGCGCCTAAATTTTATATAAAATAGCATTAGCTTTGTGCATTGTCAGGCTTTCTTGAAAATGAAATTCGCTACGTGAATTACTGGTTAGGAAAGTTTTGCCTAGCCACTATGAGCCATCTTACCCCTGTATTTACTCATAAGCCATGCCACTGGAAGTTTTTTTTTAGGACGGCCTACTTATAAAGTCAGGTGATACGCCTAGAAAAGGAGATATAGGGCTGGCTGTACTTACAGGTGACTTATTACAATGATTGAACTGGCTTTCAGAAACGTAGGGTTTTTGTTTTAATGAATTACATTTATATATGAGGAGGTAGGTGACTGTCTAACAGCCTCCCTGGTTTGGCAGCTTGTTCGTTGTCCTGGTCCCTGGTTGGGCAAGTCTGATGCCCTTGTCCTAGGGTCCCACTTTCTTGGGAATCGTAAATTATTTCTGGGCAGTAATGGGTGGCACATAATTGTTTTCATGGAAAATTAGGGTAATTAATATTTCCCTACATGGTAGCCTTCAAATCTCATATCCTAATGAAGTTCTGAGAATTTGTTTTTGTGAGAATTTCATTACAAACAAAAGTCTCAAGCCATTTGAAATTTACCTTTTTTCTAACATTTAAGCTGAATTTAAAACTTTATATTCGAATCCTTTTTCTATCTTTCTTGATCCATAAGTCGACTCCATAAATTCATTCCCCTGTACGTAATGTGTTTGTTCCCTCATGATGGAACCCATTTTTCTGTGGAGAAATTCGAAAACACACTTCTGGAACCGAGGTGGATCAGAGGAGGGGACAAAATTGACTTAGACAGAGTGCCTTGAAAAACAGTGGAGTGCATTTTGTAGTAGGAAGACCTGATCATCTAGTGCTGCACTGTACGCCATTTCTTGGCCCAATATGTAGAGTATGTACTGATCTCCACTTTTCCCTCGTGACGTAAGGCGCCATTTCTTGGCCCAATATGTAGAGTATGTACTGGTCTCCACTTTTCCCTCGTGACGTAAGGATGTCGCCATTGCGAAAAGAAAATGATTGTGTACGTTTCCATGGGCAATTCCCATTCAATTAGATGGTCCAGCACACAGAACACTCATAAAATTTAGCAAAGATCTTTTTTCTGGGGTTAATCATTGAAATACGTCAGTGGTTCCTGTTCATCAGCTTGGATGTCGATTCCTGAACTTTGTTTCGAATGGTCAGATAAAAAATGTTTCCAATGAAGACTGAAGATCGAATCTTCATAAATTATTAATGAGCGGACTTAGGAAGCTCGGATTTCCTAGATGGAAGCTATCATAAATCAGCACCACGCCCGGATCGCACAAGTACGGGCTTGAGTCCTGTCGGAGGCCGAAGTTTTCCCGTAACTGGCCGACCTTGTGAGACCTTCTTTGATTAAATGAATTTAGAGCAGTGACAAAATAAGATTTTTTGAACTCATTTGAACTGGTATGATCTTATGCCACATGGCAGCCTCTCCAAAAATCGATATTTTTGGTCGGTATTGATTGGTTGACCAAAAGCTTTGTACATTGCTTTGTGTTCCTTGGAACCGAACCCATTTCCCTGATTTGCTTTGATGTCTTCCTTTAATGCTTCATGATTCATTGCTATTTTTCTACCTATTTCGATTACTTTCGATTACTTACTTTATTCAGACAAGATGGCGTGGACCTGCCACCTCCTGGACACTATGCCACCGGTATTCTGTTTCTTCACGAGGATTCCTACAAGCAAGCCAAGGTGAGATAATACTTCATGAAAGAACAAAAAAACATCAGCAAAGGTCCAAACTGCAAAGCGTGCAGTGTGAGGTGATTATCTGACCTTCTTGGAATTTTCTTGGCAGCATTAGTCCCCATGAGAATTAACGGAAAGTGATGTGTATCTCAGTTTCGAAAGACAGTTTCTTTTTGCAAAGTCATTCGGGAACTTCTGAGAAGCGTTTTCTCTCTTTCTGCGCCCGGAATTCCCATAAGAGAGCAGGGTCTAGACGTCCGACTGATTCTTATGCCTTTTTTTTCAAAAATCAGCAATATTGGATCAACGCCAGATTCATATTTCATCGAGGTCCGTACCCAGTACATGGTTTTTACAGCAGGGAGTGACGTAATAAGTAGATAAAGAGGGTTTTCAGAGTAATTCTGGGTGCCAGGTGGACTTCATTGTACTGTAGCTGAATTTGAGACTGGCAAAAGCTCAATCTTGTAGGCGAGACTCTTTAGTCGTTACCATCTTGACCGCTGCTCGCAACAGTTCATTAGGTTCACAACTTTGTCTTGACCTCAAGTGTCCCTCTTTACGATATTCTATTGAGGTGTCCTGTCCGTCCACTTGATTCCACAGGGTAATCCAATGATCGAAACCTCCTTTATAGGTGTTTTATTGTAAACATCCGTAAAGTCACAATCGAACAGGAGATCCAATAACCCAAGTAGTAGCAGGTTTGTCATGTGAAGAATGCTTGTGATTGGTGGATTGCCTTGTGGACCAATCACAAGTTCTAGAGGACAACCCACCAATCACGAGTATTGCACAGTTCTCTTCGTTTTTATGAATTATGCGCCATTATTATGTTATTCCCATGTAATTTTTGCTGCTAATATGATTGTTTCCATTGTAAAGTAAACGGGAATATGCAAAGGAATGCTAGAATTCAGTCTGTGGTCTTTCGGGCTTTTTTGCTTCTTTAAACTGGCTAGACGATCCCGATCAAAGCAACGTTTCTTTCGAAATGTAAACGCATTTGTGACAACAGTTGCGGCTTGATCCGTGACGTCCCTAAAAAAAGATATTAAAAAACATTGCAACCTCAACAGGCTAAAGAACGTTTGCTGGGTTGCAGAAAGACCAACTGGTAAGTAAATTAGTAATATTTATGCAGAATGATAAGATCGCGTGTCTCTTTTGGGTAACTAGTCGATGCAAAAACTGTTGTAAATATAAATTATATGTGAATTATATAAGTTATATATGTAAATTTGTTGTTGTTCACTTCATTTTTCATTGACAAGCCATTGTAATGGGAAGTGAAATATGGACGAGTTTTGTTATGTATTGGCATGTTGATCACAAACATGACTGATCACTACTGGTTGCTCTACGCAAGTAACGGTTGCAGCACCCTGATATGTAGGAAATCATGGATAAATTAATTTTTTTGAAATCTGTCGCTTGCTTCTCGGCGTCCTTCCCAGAGTTACGAGTTCAGGAGAACTTGAAAAGGGGTCATTTTTGGGTATCGCGTTACAACAGTTATCAAAACAGCCCTATCGTTCTCCTCCTGCTCGTCTTTTCTTGGCAATGAAGCAGAAGGGGATCGTATTCTACAAGCCCCTCCCAGATCCCAGATAAGATCCCCAACGGACATGGTAGGAGGTGGAAGTTCCTCACATCCCTGCTTCACTATTATCAGTGTCAGTTCCATGAATGTACATATTGGTTGCACCAAGGAAGCCCAAGTTCCTTTTTAATCCTGCAAGGTCATGAGCGCTTCAGAGGATAGTTTTGAGGCTGTTTCTGTAAGGTACATCATTCTTGGACCTTATCGTGCAACAAGTAGCCCTATGCGGAATGGTGTGTGTGTAGATATCGGATAGGAATAGGACTCATACATAATCAAGTAAAATGAGATTTCATTCAATTTTATAATAATTTTTTTATTGTGCGAGCGTTTGACTTATCAAGTTCAGAGTAGTTTTAGAAAGCTAGAAAAACTATATTGTTTTGCGTTATTTGGTCTAAAAGTCCTATGGTCGGAAGAAGAAAAAGCCCGAACGCCATAAACCTCTGTTATGTACGCCTGTACGGAAATTTAAAATTTGAAGAATGGGGCCAGAATGAAAGTAGCGAAAGTTGTGTTTGGTCTCAGTCCAAAATTTAGACATCTTAAAGTAATGAAGACTTAGACGTCTTTGAAGTCCTATAGAAACAAACTTTCAAGCGAAAACTTTGTTGTTACGTCCGTCATTTCAAAGTTGCTGGCGTCATCTTCGAAGGCTTGAATTTTGAGCCAGTTTGACGACTAACGTTCAATAAAACGAACGATTTTTATTTGTCTACTTTTCGACGTCACTCAGATCTTTTTTGGAGCATAAGACTGTCTCGCTCGAGATCGCTGGCGAATATACCCAGTCATCATCGAAGAAAGCTTTTACGAGTTGGCCGAATCCAAACAACCTGTCTAGATTACTAGCTCGAACTTATCGAACGGAAATCATTATAACGAAGAGACAACAGCATTTCTTTTTATTCGAAAGAATGTTGTGATTTGTTAGAATAGTAAGAATAATACTAATAATAATAATAACAGAAAAAATAATAATAACAGTAACAATAATTACAGTAGTGAAAGTAATTCAGTTTCTTGATTTCTGCTTGACTATCGGCAATAGTTGAAAATTCATAACCACACGTGAACTAGCTTCGGATCTTTGGCATATGCCTCTACCTTGTTCATTTAGCTTATTCCAGTGTCAATGTAGTCCACTGGACCCTCCTTTTAGCAGTCACCTGAGGGTAGGCCGGGATTTGCGCCTCAAAATAAGCGTGACTTTTTATTTCTAAAATGATTCTTACTTGAGTAGGGCTTCTGGCTGTGTTCCAACTGAGTTGCTTCGTTTTTAATACTTGATCTATCTTTTGGGTCGCAGTCTCCGCTGAGGGCAAGGATTTTTCAAAGCGGTTTTTCCTGCTTTTCTTTCCAGGATGAGTTTTGTTTGAAGTTTGGCTAAGATCCAGTTATAATAATTGCAGGAAGCATTCGCTGATTTGGCTCGATCTTGCAATGTTCGGGTAATCAGTTGGCGAAAGTTGGGCACGAATCGTGAATCTCTGGGAGCAGAAGCGAAGAAAACCGAGCCTCTGATGCGACAGGTACGTTCCGAATACAAGGTTTCCTTGTATTGTAGGTTCAAATTCCTTGTACTATTCTGAAAGACCAATAATTATCAGAAAGCGGTGAGGGATTATGTTTGAATCCAACAAAATATTGTGAGTTTAAAAATAAATAAACATTACTGTACCTGGTGCACTAGCTCTCCTACTATTAGAGCTGCATGCAGTCACAAATCATAGGCCCCCTTTGCCTACCTCCATTTTCGTCGTATTAGTTCCTCATCTTTCGCGAAGTATAAACGAGCTTTATTTCTCGTAGCTTGAATCGTGTAGCATATTGGGCCAGTTACAATCGTGGCTGTATCAGTCTCCTCTGAACCCTTTCATTCTGTCTTCCCTTCTTAATTTCCTTTTCTTTCTGCACAATCTCTTCGAAGTGTATCGAATGTGTGCCGTTCTGTGGACAACTCTTGGTCTGCTCATATTTTCTTCATACCCGTCTTTTTGTAGTGCAGAGAGAACTTGCCACTCATCGCCATTGAGTTCTATTCTGTAAGGCTCTCTGAGAAACTTCTTCCAACTCAGCGATAAATGGCGAATACGCTGTGTTGGTACGCGGTAAAAATGATAAAGCCAGTTGGGACTAAATTATCGTTGGAGATCTTCTTCTGCGAGTCCTATCTGGGACGCGTGGGGAATTTTCTGATTTCCGTTAAACGGGAATCCGGGAATGAGTTCGGAAAATATTTGGTTTGT